CGCGGTGCCAAACCCGTTCTCCACCAGTTGTTAAAGTGATATGACTGTATCATATCGTTCGTATTACTCGTTTTCTACCACTTTTTGTCGCATGCGCGCTTCAACAAGAAGGCAGAGAACGGCTTTGACGGCGTGACACACTCATACTGCCTGACACGCTCAGCCGTCCACACAGAACTGGAGGCAGTACTAAATGGAAGCTTGTTCGGCTTGGGAGGGGCATTTGCTTTTCTACTAGTTCCTATTTTTAGCTTATGCTTAACACGTTATACTTTACTAAGACCTGTAAACTTCTTGAAGCTGTAAAGACAGCCGCTTTAGTTACAGGTGTTTCCAGGAGTCTACAAAGTGCTTTAACTAGCTTCGCTAAATACCATTTGAACACACCGAGCCGAACTGCGTCTAGAACGGTATTGCGCAACTGCACTTGAATGGGGGAGGGGGGTGGGGTGTGGACTAAATGGTTCCCTCCATCCACAGAATCCGACCACAGATTAATGGAGCCCACGCACCCTCGTCTAAAGAGTAGAGGATCAGAAATAGCAGCGCCGAAACATGGCCCTTTCCTTTCAGAATGCGAGCCAAATGGGCCCTTCACAAGCACAACCTCAGAACTTGGAAAAATTGAAAGCAGATTGTTAATAAAGTTTTCAGGCCTTCCACAGAGCTATGGTTAAATTACACATACCTGATGAGCAGTGCATGTTGTGCTCGATTTCCTTGGAGAATACTGAATCGTCTATTCTCCGCCTTGAGTTCTTTTTCGAGATCAGCGATGAGCGCAATTTTCCATGCATCTCCACCTTTCGACGATTTCCAGCCACCTCTTTTTGGTTTAACAACATAGTGCGTCCTATCTGAATAGTATAGCGAATTGTTTCAACGTTTGAAGTCTTTTCCACAGTCATGCTTCTCATCGGCGCTTTGAGCGATTTAGGTGAAATGGGAAGGTGTGGGCATGGATCGGCGCTCAAGACGCCGAAAACGCTCGAAGGGCTTAAAACCCTATCAACACTCATGACGTCCGTGAAAAGTATGAACGCAGCATGACTAAGACTTGGGTTTGGAACGCAGACGACTAAAGTCGCCCAGGAAGTCTCAAAGACATAATTCAATCAAGCTCAAGCGTTTAAGGATCGGCGACTGTCGAGTGTCGACCCCTCCAACCAGTGTTAAGGCCAGTTCTCTCAGGACACCTTTCTTTCTCGAGTTATAGGGGACTGTAACCGAATCAAGCGTACCTGATCCAACGAGAGGGCTTTACATGAATAGGAAAAAGTGTAGATATTCAGAGGACCACTTTAGATTCCCACCAGTTGTGTTCCTCCTTAGCCGACGAGCTTTCTTTGAGGCAGGAGAAGGTTGGCAGTCTAATTTTTGGGTAAAGAAGGTTTCTAAGAGGCGGTGCTGTTGTGCTCACTCACTCGTTTTCCTCACCCTTATGAAGCACCCGCCCCAAATACAGGCTACCAAACGTAAAACTATTTTAAATCAGCAGTAATCACGATAAAAAAACTGAACTGGAGAAAAGATAGAAGGCTCACCATTTACAACAACTTTCAACGCTGTGGAAGAAGGAGGAGCAGAATTTATACGGCATTCACAAAGTTTTTGAGAACTTCGTAATAACAGTCGTAAAATTCGGCGACGCGCAAGCATCTGAAACACAACGTACTGTAAAAAGGCCGCACAAGACCGTCCACTTCATAATGGCTGAAAACAATTATAAAAAAGGAAAAAATGAGGGAAAGTTTTAAAAAACAACTGATGTTCACTGAATTTCAAATGACGTGAGATTTTCTCACGTCAAGCGGCGTGGAGGACGTGATTGCGTAGAAAGAGTAGCAATACCGTACCATGTAGAGCAGCGCTGTGTGTGATTCTATCGTCGGCAAGCCAAGCGACGCCGCACACGCCGCGCACGGCACGCCGCAACGCGGCAATCCCGGAGTGGCATTACCGTACTCCCGAGTTGTCATCGGAGCAAGGGATTAGCGTTGTTTCACGGCGTCCTTTAGCAACGCTTCGATGCTCATGCGATCACTTTCTCGATCACTGGTTTCAAAATGGCTATTGCTTTCAGCATTTTGCAGATGTTTAATTCTCTCGTCAGAGTAACTACAATGAGTTCCGGGTTTGCAGCTTATTTTACTGTTTTTGTTCAGAACGATGAAATATTCCATAATGAGAACTCAATTAGGTCTCGTGCCTGTATGTAATCTTGAAGTTTTTCTTTTTTTTTCGTAGCGCATCTGTCTTCGCCGGACTAGTCTCTCGCCTATTGTAAAGTAATCCCCCATAGTGTTGATTCTGACCTGTGTTTATCCCAGTTTTCATTCCATAGACCGCTTCGGTTGTTTTCTTTTCTTCTCTTTCACTTTCTAGTATAACACACATGAAGTGATTTAGGCTCGTGAACATTCTCCCAAATTTCTGATAAATCCACACCGTGCTGTGCACTTGCAGATTTTCATTCTTTCTTTTCCAGTTTCAGAGTTTCATTCTTGGATCGCGAGACCTCACTTTTTCGCATTTCCAAAACGACACCCTTTTCGTTAGTTATTAGTTGGTGGTGGATCTGAACACTTTCTTCGAGGGAAAAGGTCTATTAGATAATTCTACTCTGTGGCTTCAACTTGTCGAATCCTCGGTTTCGATAGGGCAAACGTTTGAAAACCAAGGTTGGTTTTGCACTTAAGCTACCTTCAGTTACCACGTTCCATGTGCTTAACATCATAATGTGAATTTTCAGGCAATGCGGTCTCTTCCTGAAAAGAATTAGAAGCTTGTCTCTGGACGAAGTGATGATGTTTATGCGTGATTAGTTTATGAAAAAGAATGACTCTGACAAGGTTCTGTAGGCTCCCTAGTCCTTCGTCCTGGATTTTTCGATTCTCAATATATGGTGAAAATATTTAGTTCTATGCCTACAATATCCGTCATATGTATGGGAAAGAAGGTCGTCGTGTGGAATATCCCGCTTTTTCATGCTCGCATTCTCGGACAGTGAAGAGTAAAGTTTGAAAACTGTTAGATCTACCTTTGGAAACTTGTGTTTCATCTTTTCTTGTAATTTGTTTCGTTTCCCCAGTGATGTACTTTTTCACTGTACTTTATGTAACAATGTTTTAACGATTTATGAAGTCACTCATATCAAGTAGCTAATACTTTTCTGTAACGAATTCCGCTTTTTTAATTTTTTCACTGCGTTTGCATTCTGATCTCCGAGACTAGTGAACGCACTTTGTTTTGCAAATCTCTCTCTTGTTTGAATGGTGTTTCTTGGAATAAATTATGAACTTTTAATAAATTTTTTCGTTCAAACAACTTCAGCAGCTACTACTGGCACCTGGGAACCTTGAAGGAACAATCGGAATGATTCTGAAACGAAAGGATATGCGTGAAATAGGAAGGGTGCAGCCAGCGATTTTCATAAAAGTGGCTTCTTGGTGTGCGAGTGTTGGCACATTGAGATTTTGTTGCTTGGCGCGCAAATTATTAAAGGGATCATCGGCCCTTTAACAATTTGAACGCCACGCAACAAACACGTACGCGCGGCCGCCACGCCACCTCGCTCCTCCCACTGGCGCGACGACCCCACGATAGAATGACCACACACCCCATCTCGGCACTTGATGCCATTTAAGGGGGGGGGGCACCACTCCGCAGTACCTCTGCTTCTGTCTTCTAGCCAAGGCTTCAGCTTACCAGGGAAGGATACAGACTCGTCGTGGCCATTCAAGATGTGGTGGACTAGCTCAGAGCTGGTTCCGACCTGTTCCATATCTAACCCCCAAATCTACAATACTACTTCCCGAGCAAGAGTTACGGAGGTTTTTTCATCGGCCAACAGGTCGAATCCTCCTTCCTGTCGAACAATTTTTTATTTTTGCTGAAACGTGGCTAAACAGACTTACGTCTCCACTTTGTCACTACACACAGAAGTTTGCCTCTTAGAAAGCTTACGAGCAGTTTCTTGCGAATTCGAGCATCCTTTTAGCGCTCGCCACAGCGCCCACCTAGCGAGTGTGGTGAGGATGAGGGGGGGGGGGATAGGGTAATTTGAAGTTTTCAACTGGAATTACTTCAAAGGAGGTGAGGATCTATGCATGGTTCTAAGAAGGTGCATTTCCTCATGCAAAATCGGTCCGCATTACGGTAATTCCTGATTTGCACAGCGAGCTATACAAACAACTTTCCTCAAATTTTGTGGTTAGCTTATAGTATTATTCAGGGCCAGTGCTCTGTTGAATTCTATGAGCCTAGCCCAGTCCCTCGACTTCCCATGGTCGTTCCCCGTGACGGATTAATCAGCGCAATGACCTTCGTCGGAGTAGTGTTGTGTTACCGGTGCTGGCACTAATCCTTAAATAAGGTGTTGTGATTTTTCGACTCACAAGGTCGTACAGGTGTGCTTCGAGGACGAAAGTGGATTAACCGATTAGCGCCATGTCGAATGAGACAATACGAACGCATCCAGGCGTATACCAATGTTAGTCATTTAGGATGGGCGATGAGAGCGCGAAGGGGGAGAAAGAGAGAGAGATGAGCAGGAGAGAGAGAGAGAGAGGACTGAGGTGGAGACGTGAGATCGATCAGAGGGGAGAGAGGCTGGCTTACGCGCTCAGAAGCGCTTGAATTCGAAGTCTCGAAGGATTCCTTGTGCGAATTTGGGAATACCATAATCCGACGAACTATTGCAACAAATTGCCCCTCCTTGCTGAATAGTGAACAAATTCAATGAGAAAATAATAATTTAGCCAATCATTGCGATTATCCGCTGTTCAAAGCTGCAGATCGCGCTCTAAAACTTGTCGCAGAAATGGTCAGTTCTGGACAGAAGTCTTGACCATAGGCTAGGTTTGAACCCGCACCTGTAAGGTTGCGTTCAAACTTTGCGGCAGCATCCACCAGTGACCAGCACCATCCGCCAGCGACCACTAGCGCCCTGAATGTCAGCGATTAGGAAAGTTTTGATAACGATCTAGCGTCTACAAGTGGCCAGCAGCGTCCGGGAGTGGGGAGTATGGGGCGATAAGAGGGTGGCAGACAGCTGGTAGAGTATGGAGAGACAAGAGGTAGCAGACTGCTAGTAGAGTGTATGGGACGACAGGAGAGTACCAGCTACCTTCCTATCACCCTATACTCCCTACTCCCGGACGCTGTTGGTCGCTGATGGACGCTGTTAGACGCTGCTGGTCGCTAGGTCGATACCTATACTTCCCAAGCCCTCGAGGCGATGCTGGTCGCTGGTAGACGCTGCAGTAAAGTATGAACGCTGCCTAGTGCTCTCCAGGCGATGGATAACGGATGGCGCGCTCGCCTTTAGGCATCAAGCCCTTCACCCATAAATCAGCATTATAGCGATAGCAGCCGATTATAGTTGCTGATTCGCCACCCTCTCATCCATTCCCTCGTTCCCAAAAACACCTCCACATTTCCCCTCTCCGGTCCTCTTCACCTTCGAAGGACAACAAAAAGAGTAGAGAAGAATGGTTTGTTTTCCAACTTTCCAATATTTACACCTCTTTAAGAGGGTCGAGAGACAGGTTTAATCTGACGCTTTCTCCTCAAAAAGACCTCATATGAGGCCTCTTGAGAGTCCAATAACAATCTTTGCGCGTAATATTTGCGTTTGCGGAGTTCTGGCGACGCTGTTTTCAAGGAGACTGTAAAAAACCACTCGCAACGCTTGCCGTCACATCCACAACTCGCGGCTTCTCACCTTTTAAGCACTAAGAGCGTCACTGACTATCCGATTTTTCTATTTTATGGTCACTTACCCTCCATCCTTGCTCCGTCATTACCGTGATTGAGTTCTTCCGTAGGAACAAACGTAATTCAGAGGTACCAGAATAGGTCTTGTTACGACATTTCTGAATGACAAGTAATAGAAGCTTAATTTGGAATTAAAATATTGTGCAGCTTTCTCTCTCAGCCAAAAGTTACGACAATTTAGGAAGGTGGGGTGAAAGGGCGACAGAGACCGAGCAAGCCCGTGACATCTCGTTTAGGCATATCGTAGCATACTACAGGTCTGCGGAGCAGTACCGTCCGGATCCAGCTTTTGTCCACTCTATTTTCGCTTCCCCGGAAACGACAGCAGAACCATCTTGTCTCTGGCTCACCAAAACCCTCGGACGCTTTTCAGTGGTGTGGGTGCTGTATTTAGCTGCCTATACCAGGGGCTTGTCCTCAAAGGAGCGGCATCGCAGCATGCCTACCCTATCAAATACCGTAGAAGATGGAGTGCGTATCTAAACAATGAAGAGGGGATAGTCGCGATGCCCATAGGTGGATCTGTACCAGTTAAAAAAAGGGCAAGCGGTTGCGTGCCTAGCCAGAACTCGATCAAAGATCAAATCTCAGAGGCTGTGCATTGCCTACTCCTTGACAGCCCACTTGCCCCTATCAGCGCTGCATAGTGCTTCGAGCGCGTACTAGTCTACAGCACGTTTATCACTGTAGTCCAGTCGGGCGTGGGCTTCTTCCACTTCTGGCACGGCGCCAGCCCTTTTCCCACGACTCCTTGTAGGCCAGCAACGATTCATGGAAAACAGGCTGGCGCCGCGCTGAAGCTCATGCCTCTCTCACAAGCCCAGACTGATTTCCGTGATCAGGACTCTATTTTTGCACAAGAAAAGGGCATATTTTCAGGTGTCCAATGCCTCCGGACTGGAAAAACTCATGGTCAGCACAGTGAACGTAACTCACCGCCAAAGTCACCCGATACCTGTCACAACCCTTCGAGTAATACCGGTGTCCTGCTAGTCGAACATTAGCTGTTCGATTAGATGAGAAGGAGAAGAGTAAGCGGGAAGAAAAAGGCAACCGGACGCCATTTCGCTCTCGACATTCTCACCATAATCTTCGTCCAATCCGCCCAGAAAGACAAATTGCTCCATAGCAAACCTGCTTTTTTCCTCATTCTACGTATTTTGCATCATTTTCCTACATGTTTCCCCACAATTTCTGAGTTGATCAGAAATATTGTGCGAGAAAGGCAAAAGAGGGCAGGTTAGGGTCTCTATGCGGACCTGGTTTTTTCTTTTTTTTTCTCGACCGGCCAATCTCAAGTAAAGGCTTCCGGTCCCATCTCAGTAGTGAAAACCCCCAAAGGGTGTGGGAATGTTTGCGTAATAGCATCCAGCTAGTTCGGTTCAAGTCGGCTATTGTCTCTGACGCGGGGATACACTCGTAGTCACCTCAAGTGCTCTTCAGTGAAACGGCTCTTCTGCCGTCACCGCCGCGCCACCCGCCTTTTGTTCTTCCGCTTATCTCTACTTGGCAACAATAATTCAAGCTCGTCACGACTGAACCCGTTGGGATCGGGTTTCCCTTAAAATTTGGCTTTCATAGGGCTCATATTTCATCTCATGTAATTCCCTTATAGTTCTCCTTATTACATTATTATTATTATT